GGGTCTATGGTTATACAAGAATCATTGTCTAATTTGATTTATTTTGAGAGAACTGAATTTTGAAAACTTGTGTTAAAATAGATACTATTGAATCTAAAAATTTATGGAGATATAGAATTTAGTTATATGTCATATTTTGGAATATGTTGGTTGATCTAGGGATGATGGGCTTACGTAGATTGAAGTTGATCTATACATGCATCAGATTGGAAACTTTTATAGGTGTTAGTGATTGAGATTTTTTATTTGAAAAAATAAACTAAATTGTAGTTTGGATTATAACATACTATGCTTGGGGCTTATAAGTCGTAAAATTTTCTTTCTAATAAATTTATGTACTGCTCATGAATTAATTCTATAATTGTTATAATGTGTGTAATTATATATATATACGAGTGAGTGCCGAAATTACGTACAGCCCCAGAATTTGGAAGCAGTTTACCAAAAATCCATCTTCTTATCCAACAGCCGGCTCACTTTATCAAAAATTTATTTATTAGTTACATACTGAATTAGAGAAAGCAAATTTGTTCATATTCATTTAGTAATTAACATATTTGTTCATACTAACTAAAAACTTAAGATTAATTAATTAATACATACAATATGTTATAGTGTACAATAAATTCTAAAAAAAATATTCCAGGGCTTTCTATTAATAATATATATATATATAGAGGCCTGCATAAATATTTTATTATTTTGAGGTATTTATATAATCCTTAGTAAATGTAAATTTAATTATAATCCAAAAGTAAAACTCTATTTTTGATAAGTCCAATTTAATTTTGAACATAAAATGACAAACAGTGACTTCACTTCCATTAAAATAAAGAATTTATTAATTAAATTTTGTATGCAACACAAAATTTTCATTTAAGACAGGCAAAGTTCATGATATATTCTAATCCGATTTGGATTTAAACACTGAATTTCTTAATTAACATTAAGAATCCTAAATTTGTTAAATTAACTGGTATAAAGAAAACAGATTGAGAAAGTAAACCCATACAAACAAATTGTTTCAGCTATTTTTAAACCAAAACGCACAGTATTGAAGTTCCTTTAGAATTAATTGCGTACATCCGGCGCTGGCGCCCCTTAAAAAAGTTACCGTTAAAGCGCGCT